AATAATAATAAAAGCCCTCTTTCTGTTCAGCTTACTAAAGATGTTTACCTTCATACGAACACGAAGACTTTTTTTTTTAAAAAAAAAGAAATATTAAATTAATTAAAATTTTAGAGACGTAACCAAACTTTAAAATTTGATAAACTGGTTCTTACGATGGTGGCAGGCGTTTATTGGTGGTGGTGGCTCTGGGTTGATAAGTGGTGGTGGTATATCTGGTGGTGGCTCTGGCTTGGTTAGTGGTCGTGACTCTGGTGGTGGCTCTGGTGGTAGCTCTGGCTTGGTTAGTGGTCGTGACTCTGGTGGTGACTCTGGTGGTAGCTGCGACGTACATTTTTCTTGTTCGATTGTAGTTTCTTATTCGTTTGTGGTGAAAAGAATATAAAATGTAAAAAACGAAAGAAGTTCGATATTTATTACTGATTGAAAAAAAATTTTACACCAGTAACACCTACCAAATATAGAACGGATGTTGTAGGGTACCCAGAAGTAAAACCGGTTATGCTACTTGTAACGTAAAAACGCCGTTAACTGTAATGTTCGTCATATTTTGTCCAAAGAGTCCATGAAATATGTCAAAATTGAAGTGACCGGACTCAAAAAAATTGTGATCCTCGATCCAATCAAATCAAAAAGAGCGATGATCAATGTAGATCCACCAAATAAGGAAAATGAAAATGGGTTGACCCAAACCCATGTGGGCTCTCGTTATAATGAACTCTTGATATAATAGTGAATATAAAATATTTGTTATAATGAACTGATTGATAAAACGCTTGGATACTTCGCTCAGATATTCTTCCAAATAAGGAAATTGAAAATGGGTCAGTAATACTGTAATATTGGTCTTCGTTGGTCTTCGTTAACGGGTGACCTATATTATTCTAGAATATGACCCATCTGTAAATTTTCGAATCGGATATATGATCAGTGGTTGGAGCCTTAAGGACACATTTATACGTTAGTTTTGTATAATTACTAGCGCTGAGTGTAACTCGTCTCTTCGCTGACGGTTTAAATCTATCTGATGTCATAATTACAATAATAATTTTATGTATACCATACTGAGATCAATTAATGCTAAGAATTTTTATAATTTTTTGCAACGCATTTTTTTAGTATAGGCTACAGTATAATTCATGAATAGAGTTGTTAATAAAAGATTACATGTGGATTTTAGAAACTTTGCAATAATTATTATTTTATTAATGTATCCTTTAATAAGTTTTATTTAAATTGATATCAGGATTAAGAGGAATACCGTTTATTACGTAATTTCTTTTTATCAGAAGGTAGCCCCTTGGATGATAGAATTAGCAGCAATTGATTTTTATATATAGCATATAAACGTGATATGAATGCTAACCCCTCTTAAAATTATGTAATAAAGTATTTTATCTTCTACCCGCATTTAAAAATAAAATAATTGATGTTTATTGGAAATAGTTTTCAAGCCTGAACAATGTATATTTAAGGTTGTGAAGACACTTTTAATATATCGTATAGATTTAGAATATCAATTAACATATGCTATGACGTATATAATAATGTGTTGATGTGACGTATTGACATTATATATAAATGCAATATGCCAGGTTTGTGGCGCAGTCAAAAATTCTTTCATTATGGTTAGAATATATAGTAAAATTATTCAAGGAAACCTTTTCGTTAATGTACTGAGAGTAGTTTTATATGCAATTTCTCAAGAAATAGGCGATTATTTCGGTTTGAATTTTTCTGTTCGTGTTACGATTGCACCTGATCTTGAAATCTGATTCGTAGTTCAAGCAATCTGTGCCACAAACCTGGCACACATTCAAGAATTGCTATATAAATTTTATATAATATAAAGGGTGACATGAAAAGGTAGCTACCTTAGACCTTCTAAATGTCTGCAACCATAGATATGAAACACAATTTAAAAATATTTCTATGGTAATTTTAACGTTGCCCACGTGAATCAGACGATTTTAATTTAATAATGGCAAAAGTTTACTTATGACTTAATTCAAGTTTCATAACGCAAATAAGCTACGATGGCCTCACGAAAAATGTACTGTAAATTGTATAAATAATCTAATGAATTGTGTAACGATCTTTCCGCTTCTTTCCATATTTGCTCCGTGATTGGTTAAAAGTTTTTAGAAATTCTTTGGCTTATTTGGAGCATCGATTATCTAGAGGTCATATAAACCTGAGAGATTTTAAAATGTTTGTTTAAAATGACATGATAGATCACGTATTTTGAAGTATTATCTGGACATGAATCCGCTTGTCATTGCCCAAAATGCCAAAAGTGCGTTCACGTTCATACACAACTGCCTTACCAGTTTTAGCATAATCGTATTTGTTACAAATTCAGCCCATAGACTTGAATAGAAATATCAGTTTGAAACTTGCATATAAAAAATTACTCCATTAGTCTGGGATTATTTTTTTCCGATTGACGTAAGATCGTCATGGGATTCCTAATGGCACGTTTTCGGATTTACTTGTTTCCCACCGTATAAAATAATAAACATTCTCATAATTAGAATTTTTTTTTTGTTAGAGCGATCTTTCAAAAAACACTGGATCTTGTGATATACATACAAAAATTTCATTTTTTGGTTTGTATCACCGTGGGAAATAAGGGCGTGCACACGTTTTCCCCTTGGCTCACGTGGGAAAGTTTAGATTACCCAAAGAAATATCTTCCAGATGATTTGAAAACTACTTCCAAAAATATTAACTATCTTATTTTCATATGCAAGTAGAAGATCATGAGTTAACATTTGCTTGGAAAAATACTTTATTGCATAATTTTAAGAGGGGTTAGCCGTTTATATGTTATATATAAAAATCAATTTCTCTAATTCAATCTACCAAGGGGCTACCTTCTGATAAAAAAATTTTACGTAATAAACGGCCACTCCTCTTATTCCTGTTATCGATTTAAATTTTATTAATAAAATAATTATTATTGCTAAGATTGGCTGATGTTGAGATTTGGGTCTCAATTTGAAAAGTTACAAGTAATCTTTTATTAACAACTCTATTCATGAATTATAATTATCTCTACTAAACAAATGCGTCAGTAGTTGATCTCAGCTCCAACGCAGCAGTATAGTTGATTATTGTAATTATGCACATCAGTATAAATTTAAACCGTCAGCGAAGAGACAAGTTATACTTAACGATGTGTGCTTAAGGTTCCAACCTCTGATCGTATACCCGAATCGAAAATTCAAACCGATTTAATAGGTCACCCGTTTACGAAGACCAACGAAGACTATTACAGTATTATGACCCATTTTCAATTTCCTTATTTGGAAGAATATCTGAGCGATGTATAAGTCAAGGCCATTATAGTGATCCAAGTGTCTTATTAATAAATTCACTATAACAAGAGAATTTTATATTCACTATATCGAGAGTTCACTATAATAAGAGCAACTTGTGTATAAATTTGGATTTGGATTGATATGAAAATTAGCGATGTTATAGGCAAAATTGCTCTCCCTACACTTTTTATTAGTGCTCAAAGATAGGTTTGAACTACACTTTCTTTTTCTTTTTTCACTTATGATTTAATTTTGTACATGGTTATCGCTCTTTTCAATTCAGTTGTATCGATGATCGTGATTTTTCGAGTCTACGTGCCTCCCTGAATATGGCATAGATACATGACATACGTATGTCTGACCATGTTGTAATCAACAGGAGGAACCGTTGATACGTCACAAAATCGTTACACAATTGATGAAATTTTTTTTAATATTATTTTACAATACTTTTTTGGAAGCTCGCTTGACTTATGGTTAAACTCTCACTTTGCTTTACAACATATTTTTTGAATCCCTTGAATGCAATTTGAATCCCGTAGTGATATTTTGACTGGTCGATACAATGAGTGATCTGTGTAACGAGAATGAAAATCATATCTATATTTGGACGGTTTCTCCTGTTGTTGTAATCACAGGACTCAAAAAAATTTATGATAATCAAATCGATATCAATGTAGATCCCCAAATAAGGAAAATGAAAATGGGATAACCAGCGCTGATGACTTGCCAGCGGTTGAAAAAAATGTACCATCGTTTCTATATTTGGGGGGTCCTTAAAGCCCGGCAGAAGTTAGGGTTACTTTTTTGATTCAGTTAGAGTTAGCGGTTTATTAAAATATCAAGAACGCAAGTTATGCAATATGTAGATCAATATGTAAATCTGCCCCGCTTTAAGGGACCCCTATATTTGGTAGTCGTTTCTGGTATAAAATTTTTTCCCATCAATAATAAATATCGAACTTCTTCTTTCGTTTTTTACATTACTTTTCACCATATCATATTTCAATCTCTAGTTGAGAAAACTTATACCGAACAAGTGAACAAGAAACTACCACCAAACAAAAAAAAAATGAACGCTGCAGCTATCACCAGAGCCTACTACAGGAGCTACCACCACTAAACAAGCCAGAGCTACCACCACCGAACAAGCCAGACTAAACAAGCCAGAGTTACTACCACTAAACAAGCCAGAGCTACCACCACCGATCAACCATTGAACGCCTGCCACCATCGTAAGAACTACTTTATTTCCTGTTAATCAAAAATTTAAAGTTTGGTTACGTCTTTAAAATTTTAATTAATTTAATATTTCTTTTTTTTTTAAAAAAAAAGTCTTCGTGTTCGTATGAAGGTAAACATCTTTAGTAAGCTGAACAGAAAGAGGGCTTTTATTATTATTTTTTTATATTTCGATGGTGCGCTGCACCAATAGAAAGAATTATTTTTATTTTTTTTTTTGTCGTATATAGGCCGATGATGAATGATGGATACTGAGGCCTGTTATTTTTTATTCCCCGAGTGCGTGTTGCGCGGGGTTCTTTTTATTATTTTATATTATTTATTTATTTTTATTCTTACGATGGTGCGCTGCGCCAAGCTAATTAGCATTATTTTTATTTACTTTTATTCTTACGATGGTGCGCTGCGCCAAGCTAATTAGCATTATTATTATTTTAATTTTTTTTATTCTTACGATGGTGCGCTGCGCCAAACCAATTTTCATTATTATTATTATTCTTAAATAAGACCCTATTTTCTGTTCATTACATATAAGATATATTACGAAAGTTTTTTTACTGCCCATTTTTTATTTTAATTTTAGTGGGGAGCTTAAGAAACAATCTAGATAAAATACCAATCTAACTCTAACGGTATTCGGAAAGATAATAACTCTTAATAAATGGAGTGTATCCCGGTGATTCTGTTAAGGGTGATAATATTAAAGACGTTGATAACGGTCTGGTGATATCTTATTAAAGATGGTGATGTAAAAGCGGTTGATGATCAAGTAATATCAGTGATAACATCTTTCCCAGGAGAACCAACAAAATTTCACCATCACGTGATATCCGACAAAATTCTATGTTAGAATTAGGGCCTATTTTAGTTTTATAATTAAATGTTCTAACAGAAAATTCGGTCAATAAAAGCTTTTTATTAATGCGCAGGAGGTATTTTCCTATGCTGATTTTGAGTTATAAGCGATTTTTTGACAAAACGAACATATTTTTTGATCGCGTAATGTTACACCAAATCGAAATCTATTGGCTTATTTACATCGATCATCACGAGATGATAAAAATTACTTAGTAATTTTGTTGGCGATCCTGGTATAGCAAGTGAAACAGCATCAGGATGCAGTACAAATTTTCCGGATATTGGTCAGAACAATTATCCAATTAGCACTAGAAATAGGTTGTTTTTATTAGATTTAGGAGTGTACTTACATGTAAAATTGCATCTCTGGCATTTTTTATTAGTGCACCAAGATAGGTTTAGACGGCCGTTTTCCATATTTTTCGTGCTTTTCAATTTTTTTTTTGTTTTCCGGAATGATCTTCGTGATCTGCATAATTCTGCATAATTCTGCATAATGCTGGCCATTTCCGGAAATTTTGTACTGCACCCTGATGCTGTTTAGCAAGTGATAACCTTAAGTTCACGTGACGTATTAAGTTAATCTTTACTAAGGTCATTCAAGCAGGTTAAATGAGTTATTACGGGTAACTGGTCGGGCGGTTCTTGACCACAATTCCGAAGTGAATGACAAAATTTAATTCCACAAAGATATCAGAATTCGAGCCTTAATAATCCGAATCGAAGTTACAAGTCAATTTAGTCCGTCGAATTGAGTCTCGATGGGTTTATTAAAGTTACAAGTCGAATTCAGATAATAAGTCTCAAGGAAGAATTTAGATAAGGGGATAATTTTATTATTTGTTGGGTATTGAATGTGGACATCAACTGTCACTCTTTATTGTATTCAAGACACTTATATATATTTTAATTTCCTAGGACGTTATGCTCTAATTTAAGCGAATTCGCTTCGATTTGAGCGCATACGCTCTTTTTTGGACGTATTCGCTCTAATTTGAGCGCTCAAGGCGCAGGGATCTACAAATTTGTAACGTATACGCGATTTTCTGAGCGTATACCGATACTATACGAGTTGAGCCACCAAGCCACTATCAATTACCATTTAGGGGGCCGTCTAAAGCCATGTATCCACGTGACTTTTCTATGTAAATCAACCAACCGGAATTGCGAAATTATGAAATTTTGTTTACACGGATCAGCACGAAGTCAGAAAACGCAAAAAGACGAAAAATGGCAGTCTAAACCTATCTTGGGGGCACTGATTGAGAAGGCAATTTTTACTTCTACCCTACCTCTTATATCAACACTAAACTGAGCCCTTAGTTTTAATTAAAACGATTAAAACGTCAAAATCTCGTGGGTACTACTTGATTAAAATCTGCAATCATATATTTTTTTTATCTATTTCAGTTTCGATATGATTGTTGTTCCTACATGTCATAGTACAGTGCAAATATTTCGCCGGAAGTTTTTTCTTTCGCCAAGGATTTCTTTTTTCGCCAGAAGTTTTTTCGCTAAGGAGCTATTTTTTCGACAAGAAGCTTTTTTTCACCAGAGTTTTTCTTTCACCAAGCCTTTCTTTGCCAAGCAATTTTTCTTTCGCCAAGGAGTCTTCTTTTGCCAAGGAGCTTTTTTTGCCAAGAAGTTTTTTTTCTTTGTCAAGGAGTTTTTTTGCTTAGTTTTTTTTCTTTCGCCTGGAAGTTTCAACTTCTGTCAGGTAAGATCATTTTTCACTTAAGGCACAAAAGTAGTTGTATTAATAAAATTTGCCGTATAGCTCTTTAAAGTTTGATTTTCTTATGATTTATTATAAGATTTACTACATAAAATTTCGTCCATCTTCTCAGCACCTAGCCTAATTTGTAGCCGCTGGTAAGTGGCTAAAATGAGAATATATTAGTTTGCTTTGATAATATCGTGATTTGCATAATGATTTATTGTAAAAAATTTATATTGTACTTACAGATAAACCCGGAAAATTTGGTAGCCGCCAATAATGTCAGACAAGCCTAGAAAAATTTGTAGCCGCCGATAATGTTAGTTTTGTATTGGATTTATCATAAGTAATTTACTAGAAAAAATTCGATTACTATACTTACAGACCGAACTAGGAATACTTTGAATCGCTGGTAAGTTATTTTAATAGGATATGTAAGTTTTGTATTTTGTATTGCATTTATCGTGTTGTGGTCTTTTACTGGGAAAATTCGATTACTATACTTACAGACAAAACGGGAAAATTTAGTAGGTTATTTAATAGGAATGTTAGTTTTGCATTAAATTTATCGCGTAATGGTCATTTACTGAAAAAAAATTCTGAATCTGAAAGAATTTAAAATCGCTGGTAATTTATTTTAATAGAATATGATAGTTTATATTAGATTTATAGTGGTAGGGTCATTTACTCTAAAAAAAATTCGATCGATTTACTTACGGATTGAATCGGAAAGTATTTGGAGTCGCTGGTAATTAAATTTGAGATTAGTTTTGTATTTAATTTATCGTGGTATGTCATTTACTGAAACAAATTCAATTATTATTATACTTACAGACCGAACAGGGAAGACTTTAGACTTTGGAGCCACTGCAAGTTATTTCAATAGGACATGTTAGTTTTGTATTGAATCTATCGTATTATAGCCATTTACTGGAAAAATTCGATTACTATACTTACAGACCGAACTGGAAATAATTTGAAATCGCTGGTAAGTTATTTTAATAGAATAAGTTAATTTGCATTTGATTTATCATCATATGGTTATTTACTCAAAAAATCAATCACTATACTTGCAGATTGAACCGTGGCGAATTTGATCCGCTGGTAATTACTTTTGATAGATTAGTTTTGTATTTGATTTATCGTGTTATGATCATTTACCGGAAAAAAGTTCAATTATTATATTTACAGATCGAATCGGGAAAAATTTAGAGCCACTGTAAGTTATTTCGATGGCCATGTTAATTTTTTATTGAATTTATCGTTCATTTACTGGAAAAATTCGATTACTATACCTACAGACCGAATTGGAAAAATTTAAAGTCTTACTAAGCTATTGTAATGGAATATGTTAGTTTGCATTGGAATTATTATTCTAAAAAAAATTCAATTACTATACCTGCAGGTTGAACTGTGAAGAATTTTGGAGTCGCTGGTAAGTAATTTTGATAGAGATTCGTTCTTTATTGATTTATCGTGGTATATTCAATTACCGAAAAAAATTCAATTATTATACTTACAGACCTAACCGGAAAGAATTTGGAGCCATTGTATGTTATTTCAATAGGTCATGTTAGCTTTTTATGGAATTTATCTTTATGGTCATTTACTGAAAAAAGCCACTGGTAAGTTATTTCGATAAGGATATGTTAGTTTTGTATTGGATTTATCGTGTTATGATCATTTACTGGAAAAAATTCAATTACTATACTTACAGATCGAACAGGTAAATTATTTTGGCATGTTAGTTTGCGTTGACTTTATTATGGTATGGTTATTTACAACTGCTTTCATAATTTCTGGAATATCTAATAAAAAATTAGCTGAATTATTATTCGGACAATTCGATTAAGTTGTGGTTTCGGCATAATCGTTACATAGAAGCTATTTTTGCCTCACGCGCAATACTGTACTTATTCTACAGATCGTTAGAAATTCAGCACACTCATTATTATATATCATTTTGAATCAGTTATGCCAAAATCACAAACTTAATCGAATTGCCGAAAATGATTAAGGTAATCTTATCAGGAATTATAAAAACAGCTGTAATGTAAATTCGATTATACCTATAAACCGAATTTGATGTTACTGGGAAAACTGCAATTACAATACTTACTGAGAATTTGTAGCCGCTGGTAGTGATTTAGATAATTGATATGTTGTGTAGTTATTAATTAAAGCATTCGTTTACTCTACATACATACCGAACCCTGAAGGATTTGTTTCTAAAAAAAAGTAATTATAATCTAAAAAAAATCATAATATGTAAAATAAAAAAGAAAAATAAACAAATATAAAAACGCAGAAAATGTAAAAAAAAAAAAAAAAATCGAAATAAAAAAAATCGAAATAAATAAAAATCGAAAAAAATTAGAATGAATTTAAAAATAATAAAAAAATTGAAATAAAAAAAAACTTTAAAATCAAAAAAAATAAGATAAAATGAAAAAAAATAAGATAAAATGAAAAAAAATAACTAACTCATATGTCACACAGGTGCAGACCCAATGGGATATAGTTTTTCTAATGCATTCTGTAAATTCGAATTTTGTCACCAGTGGGATTTGAACTCTTGTCCTGCCATAACAACTTACTAACTACACTAAGTTGTCACACTTTTACTGTAGTATTGATTTAATAAGTTTAAGTTTTATTTTATTTATATTTATAACTTTATATTATATATTATACCGTATTATGTAATTTAGAGTAGGATAGGAATCGGCTATATGATTTAGTCAACTAAGTTGACTAAACATAGTAATTTATATATAAATATTTTAGTTGATTACAAAAGTTATGTTTTTGATGCTTCAAAAGTATTGTTCCTGATGCATTCATAATAAGAATATCAAAACGTAACTTTGAATTTTCTGTCTGTCTCCACTTGCATATTTGTATAACACAACCAATCTCATGTGAGCTCCGGACTAGGAATTGGAACCGCTTAACTGTTTAAAAATTGCTCCATAATTCCAGCAGGATTATGTTGGTCATGGGCCGGAATTATCTTAATGCCAGCCAAATTAAACGGTTAAATAATTAAATGATTAAACGATTAAGAAAAATTTTAGGCGGTTTCAATCCCTACTCCAGACTTATAACGGTTTCTGTTTCCTAGTTTAAAGTAGTATATAAAAATTAGTAGATTATCTATAAAATAGTAATAAATTTTTCTACTTTATTGTTTTATAAAATTATTAAAGATATTAGATAATTTTTACATTTAGATATTAGATATTTTTGCCAATTACATGTTAAGTTGTAGTTCTTATATTTATAAAGGTATAAATAGTTTTTCTAACAATAATCAAAATATTGAACAGTTATTTTGATTTATAAATTAGTTTTTTTTATAAATACTATAGTTGAAACTTTATTTAATAAATAAAAAAGAATTTTATATTTAAAAATTTTAAAACTATATTTGTACTACTATAATAGGCACTCTATGTAATATACCTCTAGTTTTCTATATGATACAATTATTAATTATTACAAATTAGTTGATTAGCTAGAGTAGGTTATAGAAAATCTTAGATATATATTATATTATTAAAAAATATAATTATTTAAAGACTAGGTGAGTCTTTGACCACTCTAGTAGGTTTAGGTTGCAGATAAAGTAGTCTGAGCTTTTATTTTTGCATGTAGTTTTTACTTTCTATATTCTATGTATTTAAAGATTAATAACTCACTGTAGTTATTATATTAAAAACTATTAATAAAGATACAAGCAAAGCCTCACCTTAATAACAAAAAAAAATAATAATAAGTTAAAAAAACTTTTGTAAAAAATTTTCCTATAAAAAAAGAAGGGTTTATTTAAGATGTATTAGATGAAGTAATCACTTATGAAAAGAATATATTTAGTAAAATATATTTATTTCATTTAATTTTAGAAGTAATATTTTAAGTCTATTTTTATTAATATTAAAAGATATTTCATATAGTCAATATTTTATTGTAAAACTAGTTTAGGAGGTTGTTAGATAAAGTGGTAAGAAATTGTTTTGTTTGCTTAGCTATACATGATTTGATATTTTCATAGACAATTGAGAGTTAAATATCAATAAGAAAAGGTTATAAAGTAGGTTAGAGTTATTAAGTATAAAACAGAGAAAAATATTAAAATTGTAATTGAAGGTATAATTTTAAGAGAAAAAAAGTGAGTTGGTAATTATATCTATTAATGATTGTTGAAAGTTAATATTTTTGTTGAGACAACCAAATAATATGTTTTCTAAATTAGAGCAATAGATAGCTTTTTGACGTATCAACACATTTTCGAGTTACGCCTAATTAATGTTAGATCAGTTATAACACTAGCATAAGCTAGGCATAAGTTTGCATCTATATTAAACAACGTATAGTTTCTTTTTTTAATTCGGCTCCAATAATGTGTCATGGGATCGGCAGCTGAAGTCAGTACGTGATCACTAGTTCACGTGTTCGGAAAATTTCTCTGCATTCTGATGCTTTCGGGTAACTTATAAGTATCTAAGTTGTGTTTTTTTTTTTATAGCATAAATTATGTCAATTAATTATTACTAATAATTAAATAACTACTTAGTTTTATTTAATATTTGGCAAATAATAACAACAAAAAAATTTAAAAAATTTTTTTTATATCAAGGGATCTCTTGCAGTATAGGTGACACCATTAATAAAATGTATTATTAATCAATTGATTTAGAATAGGTGTCATCTATACTGCAAGAGATCCATATCAAGTTATATAAATCGTTAAATAATTGTTGAAATGTTTTTTTTTTTGCTGCCAAATTTTAAAAAGGATATCAAGTTAAGGCCATTTGAAATTGATTTTTCGTTTAACGTTATCCCCCTCCATCTCTCGAGATCACCCAAAAATAAAACAAACAGAAATGGCAGATTGATTGATATAATAGCCAGCATGGCCGCCGGAATTTTTCGGTACACTATGTTTAGTTTTTATTTCCGCATGTAAGCGAACGTTAAACAAAATTTTAAATTCAAACGGCCTAATAACGATTTGGTAAATCTTCTATTGGTAAATAATGAATTAAAAAATCCTTTTGATATTTTTTATAGCTAGAGCTAGACGACATTTTAGTTTAATTTTGAATCTTTTAAGTACTTACTCCATCTTTTTAGATTAATTATGCTACTGGCAATATGAATTATAAATATTCAACAGGAGATAATAGATTTGTTTTTGTTTCTTTATTACATTTCTTGAAAATTATTTTTTAATTTGTGTTACTCGGTTGTTTTTATATATTGCAGTATTGCTTTATTTTGTTTCCTTATTTCAGGATTTGTTTTGTTTGGTCATACTAGATAATCAACGGATTAGGAAGGCGGATTTTTTAAAAGATAAGGCTAAATATATGGGGTAAGTCAGTAGAAACGCACCATATTTTTTCAAAGTGAATTATTTTTAAATTTTTAAACAAAATTAACTCAACAATAACTTGACAAATTTAATAAAATTTTTTTAAATTAATTCTACAACTTTGTAGAATTATTTGTTTAGTTATTTTTGTTTAAAATTTCAAAAAAAAAGATTTGGTGCGTTTCTACTGATTCATCCCCATATATGTAATATATTTCAAAATAGTAATTATTTTAGTTTTAAATTCAGCTTTTTTTTAAATTCACTATTTAAACTCATAATAACTAGCTTATTTTCAACTTGTCAACTCATCACCAACTCACTTCTATGACATTTATGTTAAAGGGTTTTAAATTATGTTATTCGAAGAAATCACAAGCCATATAATTGATGATGAAAATTTCCGTGCTGATAGATGTTAACACAACCAATATGCATAACCAATATGCATCAATAGTTATGAACAAAAATGCACAGAATTGATTAAACAGACTATTGACATCTTAGTTTATTATAAGTATTGTCATTTGATGGTTTTTTGGCAATGAATGAGTCTGAGAGCACTCCTGATTCCGATTGAGAGTAAGAATTTCGACTCAGGTAGTTCATTTCTCATTGAAATGGTTTTTGTTTCTATTCTTGCTGAATACTTTGTTAATTGAATTCGCCTTTAATTAATGACATCTGGAAGGCAATTACGTCGATGCCAAGAAAGGAAATTGGTAGATACTGATCTATTAATACAAGGTACGTACGTACGTATATAGCTCGATTTAAGCTATAACAGGTTGTCTATCGTAACTGGATGTATATTGTTAGTAGGATGTCCATGGTAGCAGGATGAACGAACATTTAGTTTGCGAGAATATTACGAGAAGTTCGGATAATATGAATGATCACTTGTCAGATGTCAACGTGGACGGCAAAACCTTGAACGATAAGGAATATAAAAATCTCACGGTATTTATTTGATACTTCTTGAATAATAAGCTAAGAATCTATTCTAATATTTGCAAAACTTTCAGTGATCAATAAAAACAAGACTTTCGGTTATTAACTCATTAATTGCACACAGTAAATTTAGGTTATTTTATTTATTTCGTTAATATTAAATTCAGAATTAAGTATGTTTCTGCTACAGTATATAAATCTAATAGTTTATAATACTTTCAAATCTGATTTTTTTTTCAATATTTATATGAAACTTGGGAGCCCACAAAATTTTAAATAGTAACTGCATTACTACATCACTATTTACGATTTAATATCGATTTAGAACTAAAAATTAACCTGTAAATTTTTTATATAAGTAGAAAGAATATTATCTACGCTGCAGAAGATCAAAAACTGGGTAGCTGTAAATGAAAAGAATTGCATCATCTTTTATGTAATAATTTTAAGCCTAGTCCTTTTTTTTTACTGTTTGCAAAATCGATCAAATTTTTAATCAAATATTTATAAAATTTGCTCAAATATGCAAGTATATATACACATATATATAAGATAGTTCCCTACCGCTACGCAATGCGTGACTTACTGAATAAATAAAAAAAAATCATTATTGATCAATATTTACATGCATAAGATAGTATCCAATTCCACAGTTAACACGATAAATAGTATATTTATTAGCACATGAAATATAATGTAAATGCTCGCATGAACAATTCAGAAATCGACGAATTTTATAATAAATTTTCTTATATAATATTATATAACTTGTTTAATGTGATCTTTGAACATACATTATCGCTCAGAAATAATGATAATATTTCATTTTATTGTATTTAATTGTTAATTGCGTTAAAAAGGTTAAGTTTATTCCAAAGTGATTAAAAGAAAAAAATAAGTGGCTTTTTAGGAAGCCACTAAAATTGCTGTGCCCAGAATCAACATAATACTAAATAAGAACAGATTTAGAGATATAGCATACGTAAAAAGATTTGTTTATTTGTTTATTAGAAGGCTTTTCTAAATGATTACAGATATTTGAGTATAAGAAGATTTTAGAAGGCTTAGGGTTCGAATTTAAAAGCCTTTTAACCCTTTTCCTTTCTTTTGAATTATATTATATTTTTCTTTTCTTTTTAATTCGCACAAAACAGAAAAAAAAAAAAGAGACCAAAATGCCGATCGACCCTAAGATGGAAAATCCGCGAGCCCATAAGAACTTATGGGCAAAATTAACACGTAGACGTGGTTGGGGGTGAGTGTTATTATATTTAAATAATTGATTATATTTAAATAATTGAAAGGAAATATTGTAAATGCAAATTAATCTATAAAATCAAACGTTATAGGTATCCCGATGTACTTGACGTTTCGGGCACTGTATGGATTAGCTTTTTTTAATAGATGCATATAATTTTATCATTATTCAGAATTAATAACATACAAAAATCATACATTAATAGATAGTTCTGAATCTTATACCCATTCTTGTTTCTGCAACCTTGTGGACTGTTTTCCTCTGTGTCATATATCTGATATTTGGAATTAACATCTCCTTTTCCTCCAATTTAAGTGCGTATTGTTTAATATAAATATATATGTATATGAGCATCAAATAACCAAAATTTCGAATGACCATCAAATAACCAAAATTTCGAATGACCATCAAATAACCAAAATTTCGAATGACCATCAAATAACCAAAATTTCGAATATGTAGCCGGATCCATTGCTGTGGTGGTTGGTCTCCTTCTGGCTTTTCGTACCAACAATGCTTATGATCGATATAATGAAGGACGAAAATTATTTTGCTGCATGTGGTTAGCATTAATAACAAAAGATAGAGAAAGTAATATAAATAGTACACTAAAATGGTATTATATAATTTGCATATATATGTAGCACACAAATCCGAAATTGTACACGAGCACTTTGGATAGGTGTCGAAGAACATGATAAAAGAGATCATATTCTTAAAGAAATCTATATCAAATTATTGTTGGGATATGTTGTTGCCGTTAAGCATCATGTTCGATTAGAATTCGGCACTCAATGGAATGACTTGGATGACCTTCTTCCAGATGGATTCCAGAAGACATATTATGAGGGTAGCGCCGCACTGACTGAGCCTACCATCGAAGGAACAGATGATCAGGAAGAAAAAACTCATGCAATTGATATGCCACAAGTGAGTTCGACGTATCGAACATTTGCAAGTAGAGTTCCACCTACTACTTATGCCCGACTTCGTCAAAGTTTGAAAACTCTGTCTGATGAAGATAAGAAAAAGTTATATGGTGAAGGCGATTACACAGATTTTGATGATGTAGATGCGAGCATGAGTCTTCCTTTGGTGAATTTTCAATTATTTTTAA